TTGGGTATCGCATTCGCGAAGAGAAAAATAGTTGGCATGGATTCTTGCCTTCGCGTTCGCGAAGAGGAATTCGCGTTCGCGAGCAGTGTCTCGCGTTCGCGAAGAGCAAATGTTGGGCAGTACGATTTTGTGCTTCGCGAACACGAGGGACCTGTCGCATTTGCGAAGAGGAGAGGTCTGGACAGAAAGTTTAAGTTCAGAAAATGGGACTTCGTCCTATTTTCCATTTTTAACGATTTGGAGCTCGGATTGAGGCGATTTTCGGGAGATTTTCAGAGGAAACAACGGGATTTGAGGCATTCGGAGGCCGATTTGCGAGGCAAAGGCATAGCAGAGTAAAGAATTTCACGTTTTGAGGTAAGTAACAGTTATAAATCTGGTCCTGAGGGTATGAAACCCCGAAATTTGTTATCATGTGATTACTTTGGAGGTGACGCACATGCTAGGTGACGGGCGTGTGGGCGTGCACCGAGGGGATTGTGACTTGGTCCATCCCATGAAAACTGTAAAGTTGAATAACTTGTTGTTAGCTCTGTGCTCTCTATGTGTTGTGAAAATTTAACTATAAATCATGTTTAGGCTACATATTGGTACTGTTGGGACTCACAGAGGTCGTGGACATGTTGAACTATCTACTTAATTGTTGTTTTGTACTCAGTCATAATTTGCTTGATTATTTTCTCCCATTCTCTATTGTTCTTTAACGATGCATCATATCATTGTTGTTTGGGCTGATTTCATGATTTGTTGAGAGCCCGAGAGACTGGAGAAATTTCTGACTAAGAGAGGCCGAGGGCCTGATTGTGAGATATTATGTTATAGCACGTAAGTTATCCGTGCGGATCCTTATATTATACTATAGCACATGAGTTGTCCGTGCGGATCCTTATATTATATCATAGCACGTGAGTTGTTCGTGCAACACGTGAGTTGTCCGTGCAGTACATGAGTTGTCCGTGTGGATCCAGATATTTATACTATGGCACGTGAGTTGTCCGTGCAACACGTGAGTTGTCCGTGCAGATTATAGCGCTTGGGCTGTAGGAGCCCCTCCGGAGTCTGTACACCCCTAGTGAGCGCGAGTACCCATTGAGTGTGAGTGTTGAGGGCTGAGAGCCGAGTGATTGAGCTGTTGTGACGAGTTGAGTATCTGTTGCCTGAGAGGTTGTACTTACTTTTCATTTGTTGTTGCACTTAGTTGCTATCTGTCATTGATGTGAAATTCTCTGAAAGATTTTATATCCGGATTACATGAACTTGAACTGTATAAAACTGATTTGACTTAAACTTTTGGAATTGAAAGCATGTCTACTCTGTGCTGGAATTACTAAAAATAAACTGTAACTGTGTAGCTCATCATTATCTTTAGTTCCTTATTTATTATTGTTACTTGTTGAGTTGGTTGTACTCATGCTACACCCTGCACTTCGTGTGCAGATCCATGTGTTCCCAAACATAGCGGGTGTTGATTCTCTCGCACAGTTGATTTTTCGGAGATTCAGAGGTAGTTGTCGTATTTCGTAGACCTTGTCTCTCTTTCCCTATCTCCTTGTTACTGTATTTGGCCTCAGATTATCATAGACCATATTTTTCAGACTTGTATTCATATTATATGCTCATGTACTCAGTGACACCAGATTTTGGGGAGTGTTCGTATCAGTATTTATGGTATTTTGTATTGTATTTAAATATTATATTTTCAAACTTAAAGAGAAATTGTGGTTTATGGAGATTATCGGCATGCCTAGTATTAAGATAGGCGTCAACACGACAGGTTAGAATTTTGGGTCGTGACACCAACAATACCAACATATAGCCTAAACATGGTTTCTAACATAACTTATAGTCAAATTTCCACAACACATAGAGAACACATAGCTAACAATAATTTATTCAACTTTATAGTTTTCACGGGACGGACCAAGTCACAATCCCCTCGGTGCACGTTCACACGTCTGTCACCTAGCATGTGCATCACCTCCAAAGTAATAACATGATACCAAAATCTGGGGTTTCATACCCTCAGGACCAGATTTATAATTGTTACTTACCTCAAACCATGAAATTCTTATTCCGCTAAGCCTTTGCCTTGTGAATTGGCCTCCAAACGCCTCCAATCTAGCCACAAATAATTCGATTCAGTCAATAAAATTTATTAAAATTAATTCCATAAGAAAATACTAATTTTCCATAAAAATCTGAAATTTAGCTCAAACATTGCCCGTGGGGTCCACGTCTCGGAACCCGACAAAAGTTACAAAATCTGAAAGCCCATTCAACCACGAGTCTAACCATACCACTTTTACCAAAATCCGACCTCAACTCGACCTCCAAATCTTCAAATCTATTTTTCAAATCCCTTAGTTCAAATCCCCGATTTACACCTCAAAAACATATAATCTAGTCGGATTATTCGATGATAATTCAATATTATGGAGTAGAAATGATCACAAGGGACTTACCTCAAGATTTCCCATAATTTCTCGCTCAAAAATCGCTTCACCAGCTTTTGGAAATGTCAAAAATAAAAATATCGGACTCCTCTGTTTTTAACATTCTGTCCAGGATTTTTGCGCCCGCGATGATTTCTTCGCACCTGCGGTCTTCGCACCCGCGACAAAACTCTAGCGCCTGCGATGTCCGCACCTGTGACGGTGCTTGGCCAGCCCATGCATTTTCTCTTTTGCGACTCATGCCTCGCTTCCGCGAGCTCGCACACGTGGCCCTTTTTCGTGCAGGTGTGATCATACTAGATGCCCAGCTGCTTTAGCTCCTCCTCCAAATCCAAATTCGATCTGTTAAGCATCCGAACTCACCCGAGGCCCCCCGGGACCCCAACCAAATGCACCAACAAGTTCTAAAATATCATATGAACTTAGTCGAAGCCTCAAATCACATCAAACAACGCTAAAACCATGAATCATGCCCCAATTCGAGCTTAATGAAATAAGAAATTTCAATTTCTACATTCGATGTCGAAACCTATCGAATCAAGTCCGATTGACCTCAAATTTTGCACACAAGTCATAATTGATATAACGAAGCTATTCTAATTTCCAGAATCAAATTCCGATCTCGATATCAAAAAGTCAACTCCCCGGTCAAACTTCCCAAAACTTCATCTTTTGTCATTTCAAGCCTAATTCCACTACAGACTTCCATATATTTTTTCGGACAACTCATAAGTCCAAAAAATTACCATACGGAGCTATTGGAATCATCAAAATTCAAATATGAGGTCGTTTACACATAAGTCTACATCCGGTCAACTTTTCTAACTTAAAATTTTCAATTACGAGACTAAGTATCTCATTTCACTCCGAATTCCCTCCGGACCAGAACCAACTAACCCGGTAAGTCTTAAAACGACTGTGAAGCATAAATTGAGCAGTAAATGGGGGAACGGGGCTGTAATACTCAAAACGACCGGTCGGGTCATTAAAGAGCCCCTCCGAAGTGTGTACACATCCCCAGTGAGCGCAGGTACCTACTGAGTGCGAGTGCCGAGTGCTGAGCGAGTGGAAGGACTGAGTGACTGTTGCTCTGAGAGGATGCATTGATTTCATTATTGTTGTATTACAGTCGTCATATATCACTGTTTTTGAAATTTTCGAGAGATATTATCTATGTTTCAGTTGAACTTGACATGAAATTACTGTTTTGGCCTTAAATGTTGAACTTGAAAGCATGCCTACCTTCTTATGTTGGAAATTACTGTAATTGGACTTAGTTGTGAAGCTCGTCACTACTTTCAGTTCTTTATTTAATATTTACTTGTTGAGTTAATTGTACTCATACTACACCATGCACCTCGCGTGCAGATCCAGGTACTTTCGGATACGGCGATTGTTATATCTCAGAGTGTTATCAGTTAGAGACTACCAAGGTAGCTGCTTGGCGTCTGCTGACCTTGACGCTCTCTTCCTTTCAGTTATTGTACTATTCTATATTTTCAGACAGTATTTTATCAGTCAAACTTTGTTATCATTTAGATGCTCATGTACTCAGTGACACCAGGTTTTGGGAGTATTTTATGTCGGGATTAGTGAGAATTTTTGTATTGAATTATATATTATATGTTCAAACTTAAAAGAACTATGGTTTATTGAGGTTGTCGGCTGGCCTAGTATATAAATAGGCGCCATCACGACAGGTTAGGATTTTGGGTCGTGACACAAAACAATGGTGTAACTCATAAAATAAAAAAGGCAAAGCAATAGTGTAAGTGGATTTATTGGCAGAATGATGGTAATACAACTACCACTCTTTTCTTAAGCGTACACCATCACACTTTGCCGGATTTGACTATCCATTGGACAAGAGCATCCTCCTTCCCTTTTACCAGCGGAACAAAATATAGTATAAGAGAAGATATGGTACAACAGAGACAACAAATGATGCGAGACAATCAAGAATAATCTGAATCAAGTCCAAGTAGAATGAAATAGTTTACGTAGAAAGGAGAAGATATGGTACAACAGAGACAAGGGGTTTCAGAAATGGCACAGGTGTATCTAAAAGTGACAATTCTATAGCCAACTTGAACTTGAATCAACCTTTTCTTTTCTGTTTAAAAAAAATTCTCTTGAATATGGTATAAGCATTAACTTTTGACACTTCGATTCTGAATGAGGGAACAATTATAAAAACCAAGCAATCTTAGGTTGTTAAAATTATGCAGGCAAATTAAATAGTTCTAAGAGAATTATTTTCTAAAACATGAAACTGAAGGTAGTACAAACATAATGATTGACCATGAAGAGTGTTTGAATGTTTGCTCAAACAAATAACATGCATAGGTAAGGAACTTTCTATAATTCTATGCAGGTACTATACTTTGCAAAACTAATTCCACTGACACAATATGAATAAGAGAAATCACATAAAGCAATAAATTCTAATGCACATATTTGAAGTGCCATTGCAAGCCCGATGATACTATTTGTCTACTCCTTAAGAAATACCAGGTATTGCTTTTTCTGTTGTAACCACAGAAGAAATAGAGCAAACCAGAGAGCACAAGTAAATTCAAACCAAAAAGGTAGTTTAGATCTACTATTGCATTTTTTCAGCAAGCAGTTTGATCTTTAGTTACAGACTTACAGGACTCCCAAGTTGTAATGTTTGTCTAAAACACGTGTACACAAGGGACAAAACTAAAGTTCAAACCAAAGCATGTGTAGTCCTGTATATTCTCCGAGTTGTACCCTTGATCCATAACCATCTGCGCCGCCATCAAAAGTAGTGTATGTACAAGTCATCAAAAGACATATGTACAAGTAGGCCACATAGTCAGTAAACTGTAAACATTAAGAAAAGACATGCAATCATTATCAAATGTGAAAGAATAAAATATAATTTTCTTTTTAGCTTCGTATTATGACTAAAGAGAGCTTTTAGAGCCAATTTTATCATGTAGTAAGTTTTTTTAATCACCTTGAACATATTTGCAAAAGTGTAGTAGTACAAAAACACCCAATTTAGAGGCACTAAAAAGAATTATGAAGGAAAACAGAATTCAGGAAAAGGAAAAATATACAAAATTTCCAGGAAACCAGAGAGCAATGGAGATGGTCGAAGAAGTTGTTCAGTAACATTGTATCCTTCGGATTGTTGTGGTAGATGGATGTAAAGACACTGACAAAGCAATTCAGTATTTGGAGCTTTAGATAATTTACTTTCTATATGATACTATTTAATTCCTCTGAATCTTATTGTGCAAAGTGTGACAAACTTCAAAGTTTCACTTATTATAGTCCTCACCTGAAGAGCTAATATGTACAAAGATCAAAAGATTTAAGTCTCCACCTGTAGTAAAGAAACAACATCTTACAAGTTAGAGAAAACAAGGGAACAAAGTTTGTAGAAAGAGGGAATTGAAGGAAAGTTCAGTCCCCACCGAAGATGGCCATGTACATGGTAAGCACGTTGAACAGTCAAAACGTAGAGTGAATTGGATGAAGCAAACAAAACATTGTGAATTTTTATTCTTTAATCATCAAAGGTTCAAATATACGTAGGAGAACGAGGACACTACAGTTGTGAGGACAGAACTGCCAAGTGCAACACTTTTGTCTGCTCTAGTGCAGAGTATGGTGAACGTTATCTTCTTCCAAGGAGATATATGGGAAACATGGGAAGCAGAGGCACTTAAATGGGCTATGGAATGCACAACTTTTAACAGTACGTGTATTTGAAAATCAACAACATCACGTTCCAAAAAAGTATTAAAAACTTATTTGATTATCTAACGATTTTGGAGTAATATATCAGCTTAGAGTTTCTAGTGACAAAGATAAATCTAATGACTCAATAACGTCCAACACAGTACCTGTATGGACTATAGTTCTATTTGTTGTAGTAGATTCAATGTCTCTTATTATAGAGATTTTCAAATTTTGTGGTTTATAGAAAGAAGCGACATAATGAAACTTTAGTGCAACAACCTATTGGATAGTACTTCCTACAACCTCAATTAATTTATAATCTTTTGCATCACTTCAAAGAATAATAGGTATCTTTACAACAAATCCATAGTTGCAAATACAACTTCTTTATTTCACCAAATGTCTTACTATGAAGCATGACGGAAAAAGGAATAAATAATTAGCCATGACAAAATTTAGTGTGTTGAGTCTTTCTGATATGTAGTGTTTAGAGAATGAGAAAATTGAAAGTAAAAGAGATGTGCTTACATGGAATCAGTTTGCAATTTAAAGAGATTGAGTTTATATAAGAACGAAACGGAATCAAACAATTTGTTCTGATCAGTTAGTGTTGTTTCTTCTACTTATAGCGAAACAAAGAATTGCTGGAGAGTCTTCTAAATTTCGATATATAAATGAGGAATAATCGACTTAATTCTAGCGGTAGGAATTTTAATAGTTCATCAGTTTTAGTTTTTATTGTCTATACACTCAACCTATTTTTCAATATACGGCGTATTCAAGATGGTTTACTAACCTTCACTTTTTCTTTGCAGGAGTGACTGGCTAAATATTTTGCTTTATGCTAGAAGAAGCATTTTTTCTAGTTGGAGTTGTCCGCTCAGTCTGTTGTCTTTTGCTAGATGATGTAGCTTCTGTGATCAGTTCTTTTTGTTCCTGCGGGGATGACAGATTGCCAAGCTCTCTTTTGCTGCTTTCTCCAGCATTTGTAAAAGTTGATGGTGCTGGCAATTGGAGAGTATCTTGCTTTTCAACATACGACAGAATGAATAGCTTTGCTGGTGTTTCATCCGACGTCCTGGAAAATGATTTCTTTAGTTGTACTTTGAACACTTTGTCAGTAAGACGTTGCCGAATAGGTTGAAGAGGCATCAATTCATTCTGCATTCAAAAATGAGTCCGGCAAGCTCTAACATGTCAGTTGAAGTAATGAATTTAATCAAATTTTAATTCTCGTTTGTACCTTTATCTTAGTTATTTCATAGATCTGTTCAGCTTTCATTGAAAGGAGACTTTCTACAGATTCACCTAATATTGTTGTAATTGTCGATCCACTTATATCTGCAATTTCAACTTGAAATCGGCACCTATTATACAATATCATTGCACGTTATTATGCATTTATAAAATCTATGAGAAAGTACTTTCAATTTGAAAAGCAAACAAAATTATGGTACCTGGGTGTTAACATCGCATGTTGATCGCAATTCAACAGTCGACAACTTTTATTATGGAAGTTCTAACAAATTGCTTGCATTTTGAATACATTAACTCGTAAAACCGCTGCTCATCATCTAGCAGCGACATTTTACCTTCCACATGAAAAGATTGCATCTGTTTAACATAAAGGAGAGCTGATGATTAGTTGAGTTGTTATAATGTTCAACCAAAATATACTGTAGTATATGTTACATGCATACCGCTGGTTGTGACTGAATATTTGCAATAGGTACAGCCTCATCATGTAGCGATACAAGAAGAGGCGATGAAGCTGTCTCTGCAGAACTACTGTGTATATATGCTCAACGTTTCTTCATTATCTTTCACCCTATAAATAGACACACACACAATTTTTGGTGATTTAAATAATTGTCTTTTTGTCCATGACTATATTGATGCAGTACTTTTGTATATTTATCTCATACCAATTCATCAATTCTGCAGCCTGTGGATAGAATGGATTTACCAATATTGCATAATTATATCTTGTTGTCAACGATGTTCCTGTATTGTACATCTATGAGTACGAAAAATTTGAATTCATTAATGTATAAAAGAAAGTTAAAATCTAGTCCATACCAGCATAAGAAGACCGTGCAATTCGTTTTGCTAGGATTACTGGATGTTTGTCAACTTGTGTAGCTAGCTCATTTCCATCAGTTTCAGCAAAATCTTCCCACAAAGTGAAAATACAATGGTGCAGACTATAGAGAGAAAAGAAATAAGTAGCAATGAGCTAGACCTTTCCCTTGTCTTTTACACGAAAAAACAAACTAAAAAGGTGCTTAACTGGCATCTTCACATTAAGAGCACAAACATATAATCACCAAAATCTATTGTCAACAACACTGTTAATTGTCTTCAAATGTTCAATAAATTCCCTGCTAACAACTAATGGGAATTGAAAATAAGAAACAAAGTAGCCATTTTACTATAAAAGCCAACAAAACTGAAGTTTTAATCTTTGACATCATAACAAACTAAATAAAAGAAATTGACAATTTTCCACCACCTGTACATACTATTTAGTTGCACTCAACTTCCATAGCTTATTTTAAACTTAATCACATAGAGAGTTGTAGTGTTATTGAGAACTAAATGTTTTTCTTTATGTTAGATAAGCTATCTTAGTATTTAGTTGTACTCTACACCTACAGTTTTTTTCCAATATACCTATTATCAATTTGTTTGACTCATAGACAAGTTTTATTAGTTTTTACAGAGTATCCACAATATCTTATATGTGACTACATTGCCAAACCAAGAACTTAGAAAACCACTTAAGAGTCTTCGATTTCCATCAGTGCCATGATACCATTTGCCTAAGTGAACTATTGAAACATGCTATAGGAAACAAAAAAAAGTAACCAATGTCATTAGTTATGAAGGGCATTGGGAGCCTTTACAAGTGGAATCAACATTAGTTATATGGATCTTTGAGTAACAATGAATCCTTTGAAATTAATGGAATAGAAGAAGATGCGCTAAACTGTATGAGTTTGAAGAAAGAAGGAGAAGTTTCGTAAATTGAATAAGAGTGGACGGAATATGTAAAATCCTAGTCCTAACTTTAGAAGGGAGAAGGAAACTTTTCAGAAGCTAGGGAGAGATATTTAAAATTTATACATACCAAGTCTTCAATAACTTTAACAGATACAACGACACATGTCAAGGCGACCCAAAGGATGAAGAACATTGTCAATAACATTTCGAAGTTCATGTGGAAAGGAACAGATCACATACAAAATCAACAAGCAAGCAGAATTATACCTGGGCTGCTGCCATGAAGGAATGGGCCACACAGAACCATTGCAGACACGGGAGAAGGGGAACAAAATTCCAGCTGACAAAAGATCTATTGAATGGAGAATTGACTTTTTGCGGAGATGTTAGGTCAGAAGAATTGGTCATACCCCAAAACATGACATCTTGAGTTATTTTCCCATGTGGGAGATCCTTGTAAAACAGATTTTGCTGGACCACAGATAATAGACAGTGGCGGATCTAGGATTTCTAAATAACGGATGCACCACTACCAAACATATATTTTTCCTCTAGCTTCTGGTGGAGAATGAAGGTATTTAACAGTATTAGAAGTTAATGTCATGCATGATCCCTTTGTCATTCCAACAGAAAAGGTAGAAAATTAATGATCCAGTGGGTTAACAATGCAGGTCTTCAAACAGAGGGGTAAAGTCAAATTGGACAAGAAATTACCTATGTAAGTATGATTCTGCAATCCAATAAGCAAAAGATCTCAAATCATCTTAAATCTTGTAAAAAGAATCTGAGTCGCATTTGAGATCCACGAAAAACCTTGATACCAACCAGCTTATTCATTATCATGTAGTGTGCTTATTTCTAATCTGAACCAGCCACTCATCACGTAAGAGGTACTATGACCAGCAAACATTAGCTCAACTCTTATTTTATCTGCATCTTTTAGGAAGCCTCATAGGGCAGAAAGTAAAATACCAAAGAGAGGACGACGACAACAACAACACTGGAGGTAGTGTGCATGCACAGCCCTACTCTGCGGCAGAGACGTTAGCCCTGCTCTGGGGGAGAGGTTACATTTTGGCCAAATCTTAATAGTTGATTTTGGGCCAAAATATTACTATTATATTTTTTAAAAATTGCCCCAAACTTTTGTATTTTATAAAAGAACCCACCATTTATTATTTTGTAACGATATTACTTTGTCTTCTGGGTCATCTGATAGTGTATCATGTAGTTCATTATAAAAATAATAATTTTGTATCAAATTTATTTATGTTCAGGACTATGGTTTGCGATAATATAATGAATGTTATTGACAATGGTATTGTTGGGTATTTGTGATAGTTTTTAGAATTTGTGGGTATAAGTCATGTTTCATGTTTTTCCAAACCAAACTTCACCCAAAACAGATGTCCAAACACATTTTCATCTTCAAACCAAACTTCACCCAAATCAGATTTTTCAGAATAAATTTGGGAATCTATGGTCAAACGCTAGCTAAAACAACCTCAATGACAAAATGTTGAAAGGCTCCCAAATTTCACTCTCTTCCAGACTTATTTGGAGCAGTGTTTTAAAAGGCGTAGGCTAAGCCGAGGCATTTTACATATGACTCGGCGAGGCGTAAGCCCCGAGGCACGAGGCGTAAGCACCATAGGTATTTAATTTTTAATATTTTATAAGATAATATAATGACCGTAAATATTTATAAACAGGTAAAATTGTATAAAAATTGAAGAAAACTATAAATATGTGATATATATTGATGTTTGGCATATTTCGATATGTGTTGATGTTCCTTTACCCATGTTTTAACCACTTCTTGA